GAAGTCAGGCGGCGGAATATTGGTCAGAGAGTTGGAATTATCTGGCGGAAAATGTGGGGTTGAGACTGGCGCCAAGAGGGCCGACAACGGGGGGCTGGGAACTGGAGACATAAGGTCCGCCGGCGATGGTCTAGCACGCTAGGTTTCCCTCACCAGTAGAAAAAACATTTTTTATAACAGGGTTTCTATAATGGGTTTGTTAAACTTGTTATAAAAACTAAGACAATGGCATTTTTGTAATAATTATGTTCTTTTTATAACAAGTGCCTATGAAATTAATTATATCCGTTATAAATTTTTCAGATTATCAATTATATATAACGGGTATTTAAAAAGTTGTTATAAATTATTTGGATTGTATAACGGGTATTTAAAAAACCGTTACACAATTTTTAAGGTTTATCAAATTAATTTATTTTCAATATCCTCTTCCGCGTCTAACTGTATGTATCTCTATCTCGCCAAAAATCACAAAATCTCTGTCTCTCACAAAATCACAGAAAATCGTCGCAAGCCCTAGGCCTATTCGCACTCGTCTGACGCTGTTCGTACCAGGCCCCCGTCGCCATTCATCCGAAGCCCTATTCGCACGCATTCTGTCTCCCGCAGCCCTCAACGTCTGCTGCTTTGAGCCCTCGACGTCCGGTGCCCGCGTTCGTAGCAGGCCCTATTCGCAAGCCGCTCGTCCCCCACAGCCCTCGTCTTCCGGTGCGTTCGTACCAGGCCCTTTAGAAACGCCGCGTTCGTACTGCGCCCTTGCTGTGAAGCTGCACTGAGCCCTTACCGTCTGCTGAACTTAGCCCTCGCCGTTTGATTCTCCAATATATGTGAAATTCTCACCCTCTTTTGGTAGTTCTTACCCTCTTTCCTGCTGTTTTATATGAAGAAATCCTCTTTTGTTGAAATTTGGTGGATAATGAAATTTGGTGGTGCAGCTTACATAAAGGATAGTGTGTTAAAAGGTTTAAGTAATATTTGGAAGAGGATTCAATAAGAGTAATACAAGTTTCTTGATTAATACAAACAATGAGTTATTGCTGGGTGGGGCCCCCTTCAATTTACAACTCCTTCAAAGACCTTTTCTTCTAGCAGCCCATGGCTTGAAGTCAAATAATCAACTGACTTGTAAAATGCTATTTCCTGTCTAGCTGCTTGTGAAGTCCAATGGTTGTTTCCATTTATTTTAATTTTCATTTTTGTTAAATTGTGTGACTTTTATAAAAAATTGAGAGTATTATGGAAATCTAGTTGTATGTAAAGAAATATGATTTATATAAAGGTGAAAGAGTGAATTAGATTGACACACGTTGAGTTGCTTTAGATTTTGATGTTTAAATTGCATTGATAGATATAATATTTATGTTCTTTTTTTTTTAAAAAAAAAATTACCACCTCTATATTTAATAATAAAAAAATGAAGAAAAATTGCCAATTGATAGGAACCTCATTTTATGGTGCCTAATAATTACTTGGTCAGTCTGACTGATTATTAGGTGTGTTTTGTTAGAATTAAGAGTAATACAAGTTTTTTTATTAAAATGTGTGTGTGTGTGTGTGTTTTAGAAGTGTGGGGTGCCTTCTTTTTGGCTTTTTGTTAGTGGTATATCAAGTAAAAGGAATTTTTATGACCTTCGGATGGTAAAGTAAAACCTTTTTAGTATAAAGTTCAGATGCACAGGAATCCAACTATCTTGTAAAAATAGAAATACACCCTATATATTTTTTTCTTTTTCAAAAGCCAACTTTTGAGGGTCTTCCTTAATAGAATACAAATTTCTTGGTGAATTGTTTGTTCTAGCTTAATGGGATATTTATATTTGTAATCCTGAAAAGTAACCGCATTTTTCTGTTATTGTACTGTACATTGTGGTAGCATTTGTTATCTTTAGATTATTGGGAAGGTTGACTTATGAGGAAAAGATACCAATGCTTAATAACTTTACAGACCCAAAGGTTCTTGAAAGGATATTTAGGACTGTTCATTGTGAATATTTTCTTCGGCTTTACTTTTTCCTTTATCTTTTCTACAATGGAGGACTTAGTGCAGAACTCTTGATTGTGCTGTGTATTAAACATGACATAGGTCATTACTGATTTACTGCTAAAAGCCTAAATATAAGAACACGACGAAGAAAAGAAAACATGGGTCTTTAAAGTAATCACCATATACATGAATTGCATGTGAGGTTGATCTTAATTTTCTGTCTTGCAAAGTCTTCAGAAAAATATATTCTTTTACATAGTAGTGTGTGTCTTACTGATATACTCTTACTTTATAGTATTATTAGTAGTATATTATAGGGTTGTAGATTCTAAATGTGTTAGATTCTTGTTGGAAGAAAAAATAGTAAAAATACTAAAAATGTGGACTCTTGAGAACCACAAAGGTTATGTGAAATTTGTAAACTATATCACATAAATGTGTTAGATTTTTTAGGTTTATGGTTATCAATCAACTTTATCAATTAAATCACATAAATCTCATTCTACACTTCTTGCCATCAAGCTGAGAGTGCTAGGGACTATGCATGATAAATTTTCATTGTTTACTTTTTAAGATTAACTCCAAAATACCATAACGAATATCTAATTTAACTATACATTTCAGAAAATGAAAACATTACTCTCTTTACATTGATAATGAAGACATATGTGATATTTCAACTTAATCTGAGTTTCATACTTTCACTATATATTATAGTCTTATATTTTGTTTCTTGTGACATTGTCTTCTCACAATAGAATTCTCAATATATTGTCCTTATTCGAATTGTCAATTTAACATGAACATTTTAGGAAGTATGGATCGTAAGTGGATAAATGCTATGCGCACAAGTATTGAATATGAGAATGGAGTGGAAGAATTTTTGGAGTTTGCTTAGCGACATGATTCCGAAGGTATGAATGGAAAATTTTACTGTCCGTGTGTGAATTGCCTGAACAATCGACGACTACGTGTTGAAGAAATCAGAGAGCATGTCCTTTGCGATGGTTTCAACAAGAGTTATACACGGTGGATTTGGCACTGCGAATTTGATATGCCGAGTGCATCCCAAACTCAAGAAATTGATGCAGAGGATGCTGATATGTATGATCGGGTAGAAGACATGATTAATGATGTTGGAGCAGAGGCATTTGAACAAGCACATGTAAATAAGGTTTGTGAGTCTTTGTCTATTGATGCAGAAAAACCTCTCTACGGTGGTTGCAAGAACTTCTCCCGTTTGACTGCAATTTTAAAACTAATCAACTTGAAGGCAGCAAATGGATGGAGTGATAAGAGTTTTACAGAGTTGTTGTGCTTGCTTAATGAAATGCTCCCCGAGGATAATGAGTTACCGAAATCTAATTATGATGCAAAGAAGGTTTTGTGCCCGTTAGGCTTGGGTTATAAGAAGATTCATGCTTGTCCTAATGATTGCATTCTGTATAGAAACGAGTACACAAGTCTTTAGGAGTGTCCGGAATGTGGAGTTTCACGATTCAAAAATGAAGTTGATGCAGATTCAAGTACACTTGTTCAACGTAAGAGACCACCTGCAAAGGTGCTCTGGTATCTTCCTATAGTACCAAGATTGAAACGTCTTTTTGCTAGTGAAACAGAGGCAAAAAACTTGAGATGGCATGCAGATGAGAGAAAAAAAGATGGAATGCTCCGTCACCCGGCAGATTCGCCTCAATGGAAAAAGATTGACCAACTTTTTCCTTGCTTTGGAAATGAGCCCAGAAACCTAAGACTCGGACTTTGTACTGATGGGATGAATCCGTATGGCAATCTCAGCACCAAGCATAGTGCATGGCCAGTTCTATTGACCATTTATAATCTGTCTCCCTTATTGTGCATGAAACGCAAGTACATTATGTTATCTATGATGATTTCGGGGCCAAAACAACCTGGAAATGACATAGATGTTTACTTGCAACCATTGATCGAAGACTTGAAAATGTTATGGGATGAAAGTGTCGATGTATTCGACGCATATAAGAAAGAAGAATTTAAAATGCGTGCGATGATCTTTTGTACAATAAATGATTTCCCAGCTTACGGAAACTTGTCTGGCTATAGCGTTAAGGGGCATAAAGCATGCCCTATATGTGAAGAAAACACGTGCTACCATCAACTTGAACATGGAAGAAAGACAGTATACCTTGGAAGTCAAAAGTTTCTAAAACCGGATCATCCATATCGTAGATTAAAAAAAGCTTTCAACGGTGAGCAGGAGTATGAGAAGGCTCCAGATGTATTAACTGCTAAAGATGCTTTCGACCGAGTGAAAAATATGAATGTGAAATTTGGTAAGGCACAACAGGCACCTCAGAAAAGCTTATGGAAAAAACGATCTATCTTTTTTGAGCTTCCATACTGGCACGAGCGTGAAGTCCGACATTGCATTGATGTGATGCATGTTGAAAAAAATGTGTGTGATAGTCTTATTGGCACTCTTCTCAATATACAAGGGAAGACAAAGGATACTCAAAATGCGCGGAAGGATATGGTTGCTATGGGCATAAGAGAGGAATTGACACCAATACCTCAAGGTAGGAGGACTTATTTGCCGCCGGCCTGTCACACACTATCCAAAAATGAGAAGAAGTTTTTGTGAGTGCTTACATGGAATAAAAGTTCCCCATGGGTATTCATCTAATATTAAGCGACTCGTATCCATGAAAGAGTTGAAGCTGATGGGGTTAAAGTCCCATGACCATCATGTATTGTTCCAACAATTATTACATGTGGCCATTCGAGGTATATTACCAAAGAAAGTGAGATGCACGATCAGTAAGTTGTGTTTCTTCTTCACTGCCATATGTTCTAAGACAATTGACCCTCTACTATTGGATGATTCAGAGAATGATGTTGTAGTTATCTTGTGTCAACTCGAGATGTATTTTCCACCTGCATTTTTTTACATTATGGCACTCTAGTCATTCACCTAGTGAGAGAGATTCGGTTATGTGGCCCTGTGCATTTGCGATGGATGTATCCATTTGAGCGATATATGAAAATTCTAAAGGGTTATGTGAAGAACCCTCATCGACCGGAGGCATCTATTGTTGAAAGATATGTTGCAGAAGAAGCGGTTGAGTTTTGTACTGAGTATCTATCACGGGCTAAATCTGTTGGTCTTCCAAAGTCTCGCCATGTGGGTAGATCTCCTGGAAAAGGGACACTTGGGGGACGAATGAAGAGTGTTGATCGTGAAGAGTTGTTACAGGCACATCTTTATATTCTAACCAATACTCTTGAAGTTCAGCCTTATTTGGATATGCATAGGAGACTCATGAAGGAGAAAAATCCTCGAAAAGTAGAACGATGGTTAGTCAACGAGCATAACAAGACCTTCATATCGTGGTTTAAGAATGAAGTTGCAAATTGCCCTTCCGCTTCAAATACAGTCTCCTGGTTAGCCGCTGGACCTAATTTTGATATCATATCTTGGCGTGGTTACGACATAAATGGGTATTCGTTCTAACGAAAGAACGAGATAAAAAGAGCACTATGCATAATAGTGGGGTTTCAGTTGAAGCGGAATCAATGCACTTCTCAAGTGCAAAAGACAAAAACCCATTATGTGCCTCTAACTCTTATTTTGGGATTACTGAAGAGATATGGGAGCTTAACTACGTTAAGTTTACTGTGCCTGTTTTCAAATGTGAATGGGTGGATAGTAATAATGGTGTGAAAGTTGACGAGTTAGGATTTACTTTAGTCGATTTTCGTAAAGTTGGATACAAGAATGAACCATTTATCATGGCAAGTCAAGCAAAGCAAGTGTTTTATGTCATTGACCCGAGCAACGAAAATTGTTCAGTTGTCCTCCACGGGAAACGACAAGTATCAGATGATGATAAGAATGACTTGACTATTGATGTTTCTGAATTTCCTTCCACCACATCAAGGATAGCTGTTGAAAATGAAGAAGTTGAACTTGATGATGTATGTGCTGCAAGAAACAATCATCATGAAGGCATATGGGAAAACACACCAATAAATTAACTCTGCCAGTAAGTATAAAATAATCATTTGGTGTTTATAATTGTATGGTGTTTGTAAAATATATTAACTTGATGATGTATGTGCTGCAAGTTAATTGTTGTAATAATTGTTTGACATTTGTGTGACAACATAATTGGTTGATGTTTTGCTAGTATTTGCATTCCCGATGTACGAGATTCAAGTCATTTGGAATAAAGGAACAAAACGATCTGTGATTTGAATTAAATTTATGTTTTACTGTGTTACTACTCATTGCTTTACAGTTTACAACATCATTTTATTCTATTTTATTTATATAACATCAAGTGTCGATTCTTTTCCCTACAATGTTGTACATTTATTTACATATTTCACTTTGTTGCGTGCAGTAATGGAGGATTTCGATAGTGATGATGCTCACTCCGATTCTACGAACGAGTCGATTTATTCTCAAGGAGATTGTTTAAAGGGCGGGCGCGGAGCAACACGATTGCCACATTTAATTCTTCAAAGCGGGAATAAGAGGGAAATATCATTTGATTGTTATATGCAGCCAGATGGACCGACCACAGATGTCATCACCGATTTTATTAGTTGTGTTGGCCTTTTAGCGCGGAGCAAAGCCAGCATTTTAGCTGAAAATTGGAAAGATGGGGTGCCCGACAAGATTAAAGAGCAAATTTGGCAAACTCTAGAGGTATGATATTTATAAATTTTATTATGTCTCATTTCTTTCCATATCATATAGTATAAACTGGTATATTTTTCCATTAATGAATTATATAATATTATTAATTATGTGTTTGTAGGAGATATTTGAGTTGCCGAATGATAGAAAATTGAAAGACTACTGGTTACGACGTGCTGGGGAAAATTAGAGGATTTTCAAGACGAGCCTCAATCGCTACATATTCGGGAAAATAAAGGGTAAGCTTCCATATATCAAGACTTACCCGTATCTTGATAAAGATACATGGGAATCTTTTGTTGCATCTCGTCAAACTCCTGAATTCTTAGTAAGTTTTACTTTTTCTGTAATATTAATTTTGTCCTTCATGACTACATGTGATTAATATATCATTAGTCTATACCCAAGAGCGCTTGGATGAGATGGCTTGGGTCTCTTCCAGCTTAACCAGTGGTCTCGTGTTCGAGCCCTGGGAATGCAGCAGTGTTAAAACTCTTGAGGGAGAGCTTTGCCGCCCTTGTGGTCCTACCCGGCTTGATTCCGAATTAGTCGGTTCCCATGTGGATCCGGAAACCGGAAGGTCCCTGCCAAAAAAAAAAAAATATATCATTAGTCTAAATTGAACTAGACCATTTAATATATTTATATATATGCAGGCAAGAAGAAAAAAAGCAAAAGAAACACAATCACACAATAAGTATCCTCATATTTTGTCTCGAGGTGGTTTACCTCGTTTGAAAAGAAAAATGATGGAGGAGAAATACAAGGCCAGGAGAGAGGCCTCGTTAGATGAATCTGTTATTGTTCCCCCCCATCTCCACCTTCTCGCCATGAGATGTGGAAAAGGGCTCGTCTGAAATCAGATGGAAATTACACCTCAGAGGAGGCTAAAACTATTGGTGACAAGATTGTAAGTAAATACTGATACTAAATTCAATCCGTTACTTTTTATTCCATATAATGCATTTTAAATATTCTTTTGTGTGCTTATTGCAAGATTCTTTGGAAGAACAATCTTCTCAGGGTAATTTCAAACCTTCTGGAAGAAATGATATTCTTGTAGAAGCAATAGGAATGCTAGAGCATCCTGGCCGTGTGAGGGGAGTCAGAAAGGGCGTGGGCATTAAGGCTTTTTTTGGACGATCAAATCGTTCAAGTGCAGGTGCAGGAATGGTGTCACGACAAGAGTTGGATGTCATTATATCTCAGGTGAAAGAAGAATTTGCAGAACAGGTAAAAGGTGAGTTGATGAAGATGATGCAACTTGGTTCTCAGCCAAGCATTTCACCTAGCTCTCCAGTAATCCTGAGCACGGAAAAAAGTGGCGCTCCAGCTTCGGATGTGAGCAAAGACGGCGAGAAATATGAATTATATGTGGAGGACCCCAAAGGCGATTGGTGGCATATGGCCATGTCCACAATTTGGGGTAAACCATGCACCATCGAATGATGAAGGATGGAGACGTACGGGTTGTGGTCTCACGAGTTATAGTTGGAGACGCTTTTGTGCCATACCCGACAGATGAGGTCACTTTCGTGAAAGATGCTCCAAGTCAATTCATTGCTTGGCCTCGAAATCTAGTTGCGAAGAATCTAAAGGTAAATAATTTTTTTATCGAATATCTCCTAAATATATTCTTCTACATGCATTAATAATTGCTCTTTTTTAATGGTTTGTTTTAATTTATATAGAATTCTTTCCAACAAAAGCAAATGGATCCAAAACCTAAGACGGATGTGATCAGAGATATGTGGAATGAAACGTTTAACATTACACAACCAGTCCATGTAGTTGTGGAGTCAGGGATTGTCGGTGAGAAAATGGATTTGTTTGTCTATCAGAAGGATATCATGGAGCTCTTAACAAATCAAAGACTTTGTGTATCTATATTGCAGTTCTTTAATTTGTGAGTAATTTTAAACTATCTTTTTCTTATTGTTTTTTTTTTATATTATGAAACTAGATATACTTTTTTTTTTTGTCGTTGTTATTGTTAGTGTTGTTGTTATTATTGTTGTTGATTTTGTTGTTTACAGGTATTTGCACAAAAATTTGAAAGAATCTGGTAGAGAAAATAAATATGGATTGATGTGCCCGCTCTCACTCCAAAGCAAACGTAACAGTAGAGATCATGCAACGAACTACATTCAAGAAAGACTGGCAAAGGGAGATTTTGAATGCCTTCTTGCACCATATCTGAGCCAGTAAGTAACTTCACTTTGTTGTAAATATTTTTACCGGAGTAGAATCGAAAGATTCGTTCCCCGGGTCGTATCACAAGGAAGGTCAGCCGGAATACTAAGCACGTTTATTCACACACGAATGAAAGAGAAAATAAAAGAAATAAAAATTCTAAACATTCTAATTCAAAGTTTGGATGGTTTTTATTATCAACTACTGCGAATAAATAAAATAAGCAAGTAAATAGCAAACGATCACATAGAACAAATAAGGATAAAGAAGCTAGGGAGTCGGGATTCCCGCTTTGGTTCGATATGTAACTAACGGGTAGTCGATTGTTCAGCTAAGAAATTCGAATAATCTACCTGATCAAGCATTCATTCTCAATAACTATTCGTAACAAGAGAATAAACTAGAACGGCAAATTAACGAGTCAAATAACTCCTAGGTAATACAGTTACGAACAAGCCTAGATCATGCGAATTTATTTCAACCGACTCCTCCCCTTTCGGTTCTAAGAGCCGATTAAATAATCCTAGAAGATGATTAATCAACTAGTCGATATAGAGTTAACAATATCACGCAAGAACGAATCAAATTCAATCAACAAGCAATTGTAAATCGAAGTGTCACTTCTTCGATAATTCTCAACATTCAAGCATAAATCGAAAACCCTAATTAAGCATGAATCACATAAATTGAACAATCTTAAGCCATACAATCACAAACAAATTCAAAGCATCGATCCCCTATTCCCTAGCATGCGAATTTAGCTACTCATAATCGAACAATCGACAAAAGAAATCACAACCCAAGAATTCATAATTAACGATTAAATAAAAAGGGATTCTTACGATTGATAAATTCCACCGTGAATTCGATAAACAAGCTTAATCCGAAAGAAATAGCCAAATCCAATGTTCAAATCTTGCTCTACGTAGAGAATCGATGAAGAAAAAGTGAAAGAACGAATGAAGAAAAGAAGAAGGGTTTTTGGTGTTTCTCCGTCGTGAAAAGAATCATCAATCTCTGCTCGCGATGGGTTTATTTATATATGCCCGATGTCACGGCGCGGAAGGAGCTCACGGACGTGGCAAGGTGGTCATCGCGGGCGCAGAGAAGTGCAGCGGTGCGGCAGAATGGATCTTCAGGTGCGGTACATCAGGTGGCGCAGCGCGGTGGTCATGGCGGCCACGGCGCTGGGGGAACTGGTGGTAGGCGTCGCGGCGCTGCGGCAAATTTTTGATCTTCTGTCCACCTCGCGGCATCGACGCGGCGCGGTGGGGCTTCAGGGTGCGCGGCGCGGTGGAGCTCGCGGCGTGGTAGGGCTCTTCTTCACGGCTCGAGGAGACGTCGCGGCGCAGATGTCTGGGAGCATGTTCTGTCCATCACGGGGCAGCTTCACGACGCGGCGGACTTCGGCAGCGCGGCGCGGTGGACTTCGCAGCTCGACGGGAGCAGCTTGGGCAGGTTCCAGTGGCCAGAAGGAGGTGTTACTGTCATGGTAGAAGGTGGAGGAGGAGCTGCTGTCCGTCGGCTTGGTGGTGCTCGGAAATCTGAGTATTAAGTGTCGGCGTGAGAAGAAAGAGCTTGCCGTGAGGGAGAGCTGTTCGGGAAGCATGCTCGAC